CTATCATTTCTCGACTAACTTTTTTTAAAAAACCACCTCTGAAATATAAGTTAAATACAAAAAATGTTTTATAATTATAAGTTATAACCATATTTAACATATAACTATAATATAACAAATTAGTAATATAAATTTATTTAATGAGGAAAATAGATTTTACTGCTTGCTTGTATTTAAAACGTTAATTAAATGCGTTTAATAACAAGAATGTTTATTTTATTACAACAAAATGGTGCTAGAAATTTAAAAAACAAGAAAACTAGATTCACCGCTTGCTTGAATTTAAAACAAATTTTTGACTATGAATGAAAAAATAATTATTGGTGCTCTTTGCAATGATAGTGTGCAATTGCTTACAAACAATATTCTTTTGTAATTAAACAACGTATGTTGCTGTTTTTGCTGAACTTTGTAAATGTAAGTTACATTTATTGCGAGTTTAATTTTAAAATTCATATTAATTTTTTTTTATGCATTAATCGCATAGCGAAATAAAGTTACAACTTGTAACTTTATTTCGAATTGCCATTAATGTATAAAAAAAATTAATATTAATTATTGATCTTGCATGAAATGTGAAATATAAAATTTACAAGCTCGTTTTACTATTTCAAGCCTTTTAAAAACCTTTTCTATTTTTAAAACATTTCTTTTGATGACACAAATTATTAAAGGATGGTGTGAGAATTCGTCCATAAAGGACGTCAAGCAGAATTTGATACAATTGTGTTGAGAAATGCATTATTAGTTTAGTTTTTTTCTCGATTTGCTTGTGTATCAAAAAAGAAATCCCCACCAGTGAAAAAGAAATACATATTCAAAAGAATACTCTTAAAATAAATATAACAATGATATATAAGTTTAAAATTAAATCAAATATACAATTCTTAATAATAACTAATTAATATACACTGATGAAAATAATATTAAAATATATAATTCATATCTTTCATATAATATAATATAAATATATAATTCATAATATATAAAATCGCAGTTCAATTTGCTGTATTGTTGCGAAGCAAATTTAATTTTGTGGTGAGTCGAATTAAAAGAATTTTTCTTTTAACTCGACTCTTGAATCTTATGGCCATTCTCTTTCTTCCATTCCAATTAAACAGGTTAAATCACTCCAGTTTCCGTTGCTAACGCCATATCTTGATTAAACTCTTCTACGGCTTGTGGTCCAGACAACATTCCTGTCACAGTCTTACAAAATTGTTCTTTAGAACTCCCTTCAGTTTTCTACAAACTATTTTATAAGTGCTTGATTGAGTTTGCTAACTGCTGTGACTAAAAGATTTTATTGTGCATTAGACAGAGGCAGAGAGGCTAGGGTTATTGCTCTTGACATATTTAAGGTTTTTGACAAAGTTTTGCATGCTGGTCTTTTTCTTATAGTCATCCTGGAAGGCTAACACTCTCCTATATTTTCAGTTTATAGGGTACCTCAAGGTTGACTCCTTGGTACAATTTTGTTTCTTATCTACATTAATAATCTGCCCAACAACCTTACATCTAAAGTAGCTTTTTTAGCTGATGATTCAAATTTACACTCCTGACAAAAAGCCTTCTCTTTTCGATTGCTTGGAAAAGGCAGCCAATCTTGATTCTGATCTCACTTCTGTAGCAGATTGGGGCTCAAAGTGGCTTGTAAATTTTAACTCCAACAAAACTCAGTTATTTACCGCAAACAATTATCACAATACTGACTACATTCCTATATTAATGAATAGCAACCCTCTCATTTTTTCTTCTCTTCTTTTTGTCTTCTTGGATTATCGTTTACTACAGACCTTTCATGGTAAACCATATATACAATTGATTGCTAAAATAGCATCTGGTAAGGTTGCTTCTCTTTATCGTGCTCACCATTTTCTCTCTCTCCTGATTCCATTCTCTACCTCTACAAATCTCTTATTCATCCCTGTATGGAATACTGTTGCCTTATTTGGGCTGGTTCTTCTAATAATGCTCTTTCTTTTCTTGACAAGGCCTAAAAATACATTGTAAATGTAATTGGACCCGCTCTCTCTCCTAGGCTTGAGCCTCTTTCACATCGTCATAAAGTTGAATCTTTTCCTCTTTTCTACAAATGCTGTGGTCACTGCTCAAAGGAGCTATCATCTCTAGTTCCATCAACTAAAACTCATTACCGCTTGACTTGCCATTAGAAACCTTCACCTTTTTAAATCTTCTGTCAACTGTTTCCTTGCTCTATAACTCTATTATTTTTTTCCAGTAACTCCCAACTTAATAGTGGTTTCTTGCAGCCTTGTTGAGAGTGAATAAGAATAATTATATATATATATATATATATTATATATATATATATATATATATATATATATATATATATATATATATATATATATATATATATATATATTTCAGGCCTTGTTTTAAAGTGTTACGTCTAGTGCAATTTACGTCCACATTAAGTGATTTTTACGTCCGCGTAGAATGATTTCGGTTAAGCTACTTTTTATCATTTTTTAACCTTTAAATTAGCGGTAACATAAAAGAAGTAATTAATTTTTAAAAAAACCACATTAACTTTTGAATAACGATATGTAAAAATATTTGTTACAAAAAAGAATTTTAACATGTTAGTATTATTTAATTTGGTATTTATATACCAAATTAAATAATACTAACATGTTAAAATATTTTAACATGACTTTTATAAACCGTAGGGCAGCTGCCCTTACGACATCATTGGTTTTGGATAATATTTTATTTTGATGAAGATCACATAACTTACATTTGATTATAATAACTTATTTGATTATAAATTTTTTGCAAATGTTTTATAAATTTTTTGCAAATGTAGTAATTTTTTAAAAGTTTTCAGTAAAAAATTTTGAAAAAATCTATATTCCAAATTTATTAATACAGAATATAAATGTTTTTTGTAATATAGATTTTTTCAGAATT